AGAGCATCAGTTTCCCAGTTGTTTAATTCAGCATGGGTTTGTAATGAATTTTATCAAACTGTCATCGGTTCTATGTACATTCATTATATAACCTGATACTAAAATATAAAAAAACAGTCTCACTAGTTTTGTTAAAAGTTTCAATAGTCAATAGTCTTTTCAGTTGCCTCAAGAGTTTTGTTGGGCCCACCGGTGGCCAAATTTGAAAACTCGTAAATGGATGCGGATTTAAGTTACAGTGCATGGGGTGCCTGCATGGACGTTTCATGGTATTTCCCCATGTGTAAATTAATACAAGTCAGTTTCCCTCAGAAAATCACCGAAAAGGAATCTCTTCCCTTAAACAATAGCCTCAGTATGTCTTGCCAAAATTTATAAACAAATTCAAATTCACAACATGTTTTAGAATTAGATCATTTCAATTTAATCAATGCTCTATTATTTCAGATTACATGATACAAGAAAACTAAAATATCGCCTAATATCCTTTTAAAAGGGGAAAAGTCGGAAAGCAAACAAAATACCATCGTACTGACAGCGTCTTGAGTTTACGCATCAAGAAAAGATTAAAAACTTTCGAGAAAAGGGTTTTTGTATAATCTGTTCACATTACAAAAGAAAACAAACGCGTAAATACACCTGCAGATTTATTTCTTTTTTTGTTGTTGTAGTTTTCAAACATTATTTATTTTAAATTTATTTAATGGACGTTGCACCTTTTTTTATAACTAAAATATTATAAAAGAACTTAAACAACAATCACATGCAACTATAATTAAGATTTTCGAAATCAAATTAACATTTCAGTGCTGAATTTAAGTTGTTATGACCGCTTAGTAATTCAGCCAGACCTAAAATGAGAATATTGGAGGGGCAATACTAAACGAATACAAATAAGTAAGATATAGCAAAAAGAAGCTATTTTGTTAATAACTATAAAATCTAGCAGCGAAACCTTTGAATTAAAAAAAAAAAAAAATCAGACTGGATAAATTATTGTTTGCTTAATCTGATGCATCAAAACACATGACAAATCGAATAAATTATTGATGGCAAAATTAATTTAATTATTAATTTGGATACTTAATTACAGAAAATGCCCGATAGTGCTTGTAAAATTTTGAGGTAATGAAAATAAGAAAAATCTCTTTTATTTCTCGGTACACTAATTTAAGCAAATTTTAATACACTTCGGTAAAAGCTTTGGGTCAAATCTTCCTGAAACGCCGACCGCCGGTAGCCGAGCGATAAAAATCACTGAACACTGGTAGTTCCGACCTGAGTTCGATTCCAGGCGAGCGGGCTGTTTGCAGGGACGTTATCGTGGGTTTTTCCCATGTGTAACTTGTATATGGGCCAGTTTCCCATAGAAAGTCCTCCACGAAGGCCATCCGTCTCCTTAGGCAGATAGTCCTAGTGTTTCGCCGTAATCAAATAAAACTAAACCCTAAAATGCCTTTACTAAACAGCAATAGAAAACTAACCTTTAATAAAAGAAACAACATTTCATATCGCATGAAAACTAAAACAATTACTTTTCTTAAATTATTCCTACATTTTTCGCATTATTTTGCTATCATTTAACAGCATTAAAGGTAAATTAATTTCATATTTTATTAATTAATACGTTCGTAAAGAGGATAATAATTCGTGCATACAAATCACCGTTATAGCATCGTACGATTTGTTTAATAAAAAGGAGCCATAATTTATTTTCTTAAAAAGCCTTGAATTTTTCAGATAAACATAGGAACACGTTGTAATAACAAAAAGAACTAATATGCACACCTGTATCCAAATTATCGTACGAATTTCTTTTTCATTTACAAATCTTACTCACAATATTCAAAAGCAGCCAGTTCCTCATACCTAATTCCTACGGTTGTAATTGAAGAAAAGCATGTGTCGACCGGGAAAATTCCAAACAAGCTAGCAAGTAAAGTAACTCTTTGTTATCTTTTTTCGGATCTTCAACAAATTCCCACCCGCGCAAAAGCTTTTAGAAGATTTATTTTTTTCTCTCCACGAAAGGTGCTGCTCCGGAAGCATAGCTGGAAATAATGCCATCCTGATCCCATAATCGCAACAAATGAGACTCCTACAACCGAAAATCAATTTGGAAGTCGGATCAGACAGAGAGCTCGATTCGCGATAAGTCGCAGCATTGTTTTAATAGCTTGTCTGCACCGGATGTGCACCATCATTAAGCGACTGCAGGAACATGGACACCTACAAACGAAATCCTCGGATTCGATCACGATCTTGCTGCGAGGGGCACTGACCAATCTCGTTCCGTACTTTACTTCAACAATGCGACCTTAGCCTTAGACTACGGCTGACTATGCGACTTCTTTTTTGATCAGGTCTCCGACAGACATTATTGTAAGAGGCGCACGGAATTGAAGTGTATAAATAACGAACATGCTCTTTTAAATTAACTTTTTTCGAAGTGTACGCAGAATTTTGCAACATATTTCTAAAAATTGTCAGAATGCAATCGAACATATTAATTGAAGTGTTCTTGAGAAATATTCTTAATTTGTAAAATTACATTCATAATTTAAAAATTATTAAATTAATAAGACTAAAAACAATCATCTACAGTCTAAGGAGAAGAGAAAAATAATAAGTTTTTGCAATTAAATTAATAAAATATTTAACATGGAGTTTTGCATTTCATTACTTGGTTTCAAAATATTGAAATTTGAATTTCATTAATTTGCACCTACTCAGAGTAATGAACAGAGGAAAGAAAAAATATGGTTAAAATCTATTTTTCAAATCATTACAAAAATCACACCTCAATGAAAAGGAAAACATTGTGAACAATGTTTATAAGAACATAAATAAATAGCCATACTGAATATCATTTCTCTAAAACTATCGCGTCGACAGAAAATATCTCGCACCTCTCTAAGGTTCACTGCACATAAAATTTAAATTTTGATATATAAAAAGCTTCATGTAGCATATTAAGATGCATAAAAGTTATGTGGTATCCAACTCATCAGCAAGAAGACATGAATTTCACCAAGTTTTGTAGCACATGAAAATTGCAAGGTAAAAATCTAAGATACGAAATAAATATTAAAAATAAATATTAAAAGCAGTAAATTTCGTTACGCTGTTCCAGTCATGTTAAATTATTCACATAGATTGTGATGTTTTCTGTTAATAAGAAAATAAAAGTAATTTTATAAGGTATTTTTCCCCTCCTTTTTGCATGCCTTCGTGATGTAACGGCAGCACACTCGACGCGTATTCGAGAGGTCCAGTTTCGAGTTCCGGCGAGGGCATAGAGTATTTCTTTAAAAGTATTTGAAAATTTACATACAGCCATCTTATCAAATAAATTTCGAAAATAAATATTTTATAAGTTTAAATACTTTTTGAATTAAAAAAAATTCTTATTTTATTTTATTTTATTTATTTATTTATTTATTTATTTTTTTTCGAAAACGTATTTCTTCGAACAGTGTTTCAAAAACTACATTTATCTACTGTATCCAATTAATCCAAGTAAATAGATTCAAAGGGAAAGCTATTTAAAAGTTTTAGAGTTACTTTTCGAAGTCAAAGGGATTCTAAGTAACTTAAGATGTTCCTATTTTAGTTAAAATGCATTTAAAGGAAAAACGTTTTAGGTTAGTTAGCAGTGCTAACCCTTTAATGCAATCATGCTCGAGCTGAAGGTGTACAAAATACTCTTATTAATGGCAGAGGTCTCAAGCGGTAAATGAAATTTTTAAATACGACGATAAGAAAATTATTTTTTTTTTTTTTTTAAATTATACTTGCAACTATAAGAATACGAAAAGAATTAATTCCATATCCTCATTATCCGGAATGAGAAAACAGTAAGTTTTAGAATATCTAACTCTGCATTTTAGGAATTTTACGATCATGCCTTTCATTCCAAGAAAAAAAGAGGTGGCATATAAAGCATGGCTTTTTATCTATTCCGAAATATCAGAGTAAAAACACGTTATGACTGCATTATAAATCTAAGGCACATACTTAAAAGCAAAAACTTATCCAAGCCCATTATTACTTATAACAGAATAACAGCAAAACGCAGCATTCATAAATTTAATTTACATTCGAAATATTCCATTAATGAATGAATTGACTGAAACTGTTTAGACTTTACCATTATCGTCTACAAAGCATGAAAAAAATGCAGTTATTTTCACCTTTACATTCATTATACTGGATGTTATTTACACCATTAAATCGCACTGTAATTACTTACAGCATAAGTTCTCAAGCAGAAATTAATTTTGTAAATTGACTTTCAAAATAATAAAAAATAAACTTTTTACAAAAATAAAATTTCAAAATAATTTTTTTTAAGTAATTTTTTTTTTAAAATTTAAAGCTTATGCTTAAGTATATTTCCAAAATACCAAAGATTACCTTTAGGGTTATGAAAAAGATCTCAAAAATAAAATTTCATAATTGTCTGATTAACAAAACTGTTAATCATATAAATGGGTATATAGGTATAACAACTCAATTATACCTATATACCCATTCATACAGCCGCAAAATTTATCATAAATATGACCAAACTGATTTCAGAATTGGTATATCGTCAGTCTTGAAATTAAAATTGGTATTTATATTAATGAGAGTCAGTTTCGTTAAAAGTTTCTTCTTTTTTATCGCATTTCTGATTTATTCAACATTTAGTTATTACTAATAGTTATATTTATTTACTTGTTTAATTGATCAGGCTTTTATATTATTTTTAAAAATGTTCACGTTAAATTTTTTCAATTAATCTCTAAATTACCTTCTTTTGAAAAAATACTTTTGCTTCGATTAAATGTACACCCATTTTTGCCGAAATAAGCAGGTTACTTATCTTCCATAAAGTTTAATATGTTACATACAATAATAATACGGCTAGAACCGAGTAATAAAAGATATGTTTAATGTTAGTTGTTATCTGCGCTTAACAGCTTTGATATTTTCTAGCAGAAACGGTGATACATTACTCTTAAAATAGGAATGGCTGCAAATTTTCCATACATCTACCATCAGAAAGACTTCAAATTTCTTACCTGCAAAAGAATAAAGCATCATTAATAAAATTCTGTCGCTCATTATATTTTAAAAATATACAGATGCAAAAAATTATAAAAAGAAAATATTTTTTAATATTTTTCATTTGGGAGAAGATTAAAAATGCAAACAATCAGCAAATAATAATTAAAAAAAATTACAGCCCAAAAAAAAGTACTAAATCGCAGCCTAAAGAATCGACGCAATTAAATTTACCCTTCCACAGAGCCTCTAATTAAGGATGACGATATTATTTGGAATTAAAATTTACCCATTTCTTCCACAACGCAGGTTTTTATGGCTTCAATCAGAAAATTAATACTAAAAAATTCTAAACATACATTCTTATTATAATCGATAACATGCTTGCATTTAAAATATGAAAATTCACTACATTAATGTTTTTCAGTAGAACCCATACTATAACGATTTTAAAGAAAAAGCGAAAAAGTACTAAAGACAACAAAGGGAAAATAAATTAATACAAAACCAACACAAAACAGTCACCATTTAGCTATACTTCCATGGCAATCACCATTTAGCTATACTTCCATGGCAACTATGCATAGAATAATTTATACTAACGTGCTTAATCATTTAATAGTAATCATTATAGTTTAGATTCTCTCCCCCGGAACTAGATTTGTTTGTTTTGTAAAATTAGGCAAAAACCGAAACAGTCCAGAAATTAACATCGAAGATCCGTTCAGTGCGAGTGTACTTTAAAATGCTGGATATCGCATAAACGAATAACGAAGATAATAATAATAAATAGTTATCGTATTTATTCGCATATTTTCCTCTTTTTTTAACTGATTTTATAATACGAAAATCGAGTGGGGAAAATTATGCAAATAATTTAATTTCTGAACTATGCACTTACAGATAAACCATCGGTAATTATGAAAATATTATTTATTTAAAAGAATCTTTTCTCAGTTCATCATATCAGTGTTCGCTTTTCTTACTAAGGTGGCTATACAAAACTTTTTTTTTTTTTTTTTTTTTTTTTTTTGTCATTAACGTTTTGTGTATTTACTTTATTTATTAAATATCACGTTCTTGGCGTTTACGCCACATAAAATTCGATTTAAGAGCAAAATCACAGAATATTTATAAAAGCATATCATTTGAATTTCCGATAGACAATCTGGCGCACTGGAGAGAAAAATGTTTTATTTCATACAGTGTTGCCACTCCTCGCGTTGAAATTGCTAAATTTATTAATCAAAAAGTCGTTAATGTTTAACAAAATATGAAACAGATAATAAAACAAGTACTAAATTGAAAATTCTGGCTTCCAGGTGCCCATATTCGGGTGGAGGATACGTTATTCGAAATTGGATGGCATCGTTTATTTACAGTGCGGGAAAATTGCATACATTCATACAGAGTCTTCATTATTTAATTTTTTTAAATGTAATACAGGGCAATAATATCTGGTGGCAACAATTCCAAAAATGATACGCCGTTTTTAGTGATTCAACGCAAAATGCCGTTCCGAGACTAAACTTATTTTTTTCCCCCAGATGTTACTTCTATATTAAAGGGCGACAAAGACTTTTTTTACCAAGGGCGATAAAATGTCCTCCTCTGGCATAGAATTCCTTTTGTTAAAACTTTAGTCGAAATTATGTTCCTGTGTTCCTGGGTAATGTATCTTGTATAATCAACAGTTCGGATAATTCGCAGCAGAATAATCGGTGTTCCACTATACCTAACTTTAGACCGTTATTATGGCGAGAGATTATAAGAATTTCAAGTATGCGGATGCTGCTTATCTGGTTGCATACAAATGTAATAAAGCTAAATTCCAGTTGCGTGAGAATGTATTTATGCTGTTTAAAAATGAAGAAGGAAGGTCTAGGTCTAGCACAGCGTATACATATTCATCAAATGAAATGACAAATTTTGCCAGTTCTCTATCTCAAAACATTAATTATGAAACAAGTTGAAAATTTCAAGGGGATTTTAATATTTTTCCTTATTGTGTAATTTTAAAATAAAAGACAGAATTAAAACTACCAGTTTCAGAGAATATATAAAAAAATACTTGTAGTTAATCATTTGCAATAAATAAATTGCATTCAGTTTGTATAACTTAGGCAAAGGGGAGACATTGGCCTATAAAAAGAGGGTTATGATATATATATGCATTTCTGCTACTAAATTCTAAACAATGTAACCTTAAAAAATAGGGAGTTATTTCAGCAGCATACTGTTCTTAGAAATGCGTGATGAAAACCACAAAGTGTGCATCCTTGATAAAAACGATTGCAGTTTAGCAAAATTTCCTCATTTTAAAAAACTGATGAGTCATTAGAAACAGGTAATTAATTCAAAGTAATAAGGAAACGTATTCTGCATACTGCGTCGTTCGCAAGTTTCGGTGCTGTAATGTTATAGCCCCTAATCGCTCAATACGTACAGGGAATGAATGCCTGTAAAAATGCTCCTAAAAGATGTAGTTACAGATCGTTAAGGGTATTTCACTGTAACACAGTTAGTTGAACTCATACAGTACTGTTTATCCTGACCAGTCTCGATATTTTGTGTTGAAACTGTCGGATTAAAAACACGAAGGAAAAAATTATTTCAGTTTATTTAGAAATACTATATAATTCGTCAGTTTTTTTTTTTTTTTGCTTCATAGTGTTTTTATTAAAAAACTTTTGATGCTGACATATGCTTCGCACCCAACCTAAATAATTTAGTTCAAATACAGGATTGGATTATATAAATTATGGCAAAGCACCTGAGAACTACGTGTAAAGAGAGAAAGAAAACTGGCTCGTCTTCTGAAAGAAAACTGGCTCGCATTCATAATCATATAAAGTAAACCATGAAAACGGCCATGCATACAGCCCATTTGCCAGACATTTTAGTGATTATACTACCAGTGTTTAGAGCTTTTACCGCTCGACCGCTGGTGGGCCCCAATTTGAAGTACTGTTAACGTGGATATGATTTAAAAGCAGATAATCTAAATTCGTCAAGCCAAAAAGAAGGACTTAAAATACTCACATTTTGAGTACTTAATAATAATGTGCACATGTGAGAGCAGCAATAACGGGTTAAAAATTTGAATAATTGTAATAAAACAATTACATAATCTTTGAAGATGCAACAGTAAAATCATTTATAGTTATAGTATCTTTAAACATAATTTAATTAATCAAACAAATATACTTAAAAATATCTCCAAAACGAAAGCGAATGAAATAAGGATTTTAATTAGACATTAAATGAAATTATGTTAACATCTCATATTTATAAAACGCATAGCGCAGGAATCGGAAGTAATTTCTATTACTAAATGACATTCACTTTTCATGTGTAAAATTACAATATTCGTTTTCACGTACGAAATGAAAGTTCGATGGGTGACAGACATTATCTAAATTCTTCATAATTTAGTTAATAACAGGAAAATGTTTTCTGTTATAAAAACGGCTAAATTTGTTCCCAGCTTTCTTTAATACGAAATGTCAAAAACTGTAGAATCTATAGCTGTTTTCTTTCCCAGTTCACCTATGTTTACTAAGCATGAGAGCAAATCATACCATAAAGCATTTCCTGAACCCTTTGTCAGCGGTTACCACTAATCGCAAATGTAAACGAAACTCGTAAGATATCAGCATCAGATACTGATTCACGGAGTATGTCTAGCACAAAACCTGCGCAGAACTCTACATTCATGACAGTAACACGCAAAAAATTAAAAAAAAAAAAAAAGTGGGAACAGATTTTGAATATGTAAAGGTGTTACCATACACACGCGAAATAGCTATAAAACAATGGTACGAAAAACAGTAAAATTCTAATTACAGCGATCGGTGATGTCGATCAAATCAATTTTTGCTTACCTGGAAGTCATCTTATCTGATAATAATCAGATGCATATCCTGTGGTCCATCTGTCTTAAGACCGCGCAGCTTTTTAACAATAATTATTCGTCACAATTAACGGTTACTGGTAAAGAAAGTACCAAGAATCGGACGAGTTGTCTTATCTGTGGTCTTAACAAAAGTAGATGCAAGCAAAGGAGCGACGTTGGGCAAGGTTTTTTGCGATAACTGATAATACCGTTATTGCCTCGTACACACCTGCACTTCATTAATGAGGAAATTGAAGGGACAAAGTCCCAAACTCGCTTATCGCTTAATTTTTTTCTTCTGTCGAGTATTGCTTTTAATGTGCTGCACTAATTCCAGTCGTAGCTTCATAAGACAAGATGAAGATTGCGCAAGATACTAAGAATTTAGAAAATGGGTTTATACGCGTAAACAGCAGACATTAAAACAAGGGGTGACAAAGAAATTTTACTTTAACCATATGATCAAAACAAAGAGAAAAGTACGTCAGATTACACATTTTCCTTGAGACGAAGAACAATAAACAGGCATATTTTTTAAAAAGTTTCTGTGGAACACGGCCGCCAGCGTAAAAAAGAAATAGATAAGAATTATTGAAAGGAGTGTATTAAGATTTTCACAGCTTTCCACTGACTGCAATATTCTTGCCGTACTAATTTAAATAGCGTACGGGAAAAGCGGAAATTATAAGATTAGTAAATCACTAAAAATTTTTGTAAATATAGTTTTCAGGTTTAAATTAAACCTAAATATTTCATTTTACAGTCTTTTAATAAATTATTTTACTTTACAATAAGTATTCAAGTAAATTCTGATAGCTCTTGTGAAAAACAGCTATCAACAGTTCGTTAAAAAAAATCACTGATAATGACTTGAATTTGAAAGAGGAAATATGTCACATAGATAATAATGAACGAAACATACATCACTGATTTAGGGGTTACTAAATGTAAAAATAAGATAAAATGAAAAATTTATCGCGAGAAACTTTAAATAATTTACTACAATACCAAACTGCTTATAATAATAATATTTTTGTTTCCTGTTCATATTAACATATAAGGTAGAGTGGTTACAGAAGTTATCTCAAACTGGCGGCCCTCGGGACGCATGAGCGTCCCGAA